GGCTACCATATTTCTGATAACATAACTCATAAAGATTAGTGAACTATAACTAAGTGTTGATATAAAATGATGACGAACGCTTGTTATAGGATCTATATATGTAATATATATCCACTTCACATTACATACCGGACATACATATTAATAAACTTGATTAAATGAAACACATTTTGTATAAAAACACGTTAAAAAGGGCATAAACATAGCCGCCACCGGAACACTACCAACAATGATTACAAAGACAAAGCTCACGAAATTTAATTCAAATACCGTAGAACTCGAGTAAATTATTTATTAATATCCAGTCCTTAGTAACGTTTATAGAAGGTTTACTTTGGCTAACTCGTTAATATTAGATTATTCTGTTCACTTGTAAAGGCTGAAGCATACTGTAATATTCGAGTGTTGGCTCGAAAATGAATTGAAAAACACGAGGTTTTGATTTCGTCTCGCTTTTCACTTTTAGGACTACGTAATCCAGAGTATTTGCATTGAATGTGGTCGTCGGTGGCACAGCTTTGCTCGTATTACCAAAACGCAAAGAATCGGGGGTTAATCCCGGCTACAACATTTTATATACATACCTATTTTTTGTGATATAAATTGCAATGTTACAGCGATTTTAAAGTAAATGGTTTTCATAGAACAATTTCTCCTAACAATTATAATGCTTAAATCTTACAGCTTACGACCTTTAATGAAAAACAAACGACAACATCTATATGTAAAATAATGGTACGTGGGGAGAGGCAAATCTCCGTTCCTCACTGAGAAAATGAATGCAAAAGTAATATGAAAGTAAGGAAATAAGTAGACTGTCTGTCATGCTATGGCATACACTAGACAGCCATGTGCCACGGCTTGAATATTTTATTGTTCCGTCGGCAGCCATCTTGGTCGTAAATCCGCAGTTTTAAAACTGCCATTCACAAGAACAATGACACCTAGAGATTCCTGATAAGAAATAGAATTAAAATTGATCACGCTGCTCCAAATCTGTTAAAAAATATGTTTATATTTTCTTCTAAGTGTCTAATCTTTTAGAAATGGTTTTAATTTAAATGAACTTTCGCCCACTTCCATAGCAGTGCAATGAAAGTATCGAAATATACATTTATAAACCTTTTTTCCTATGAGCAAAATTGTAGTTTCTGAGTAAGAGTATTAAACTTTTTCTTTAAATAGCATAAAACATTATAAATCTCATAACCTTTACATAGGTCCTTTAAATATTGTGCATAGAAGTTATTACCATTTTACAAAAACAAAGTTAATACAGAAAGATCAAGTTAGAATGTAATGGAACAGAATAAAATGAATACAAATCTGATGGCAGAAGATTGCGTATGAAATAATTAAAAATAAATACGCTTCTTCTAGCAAAGATGGAAGCATAGGTTGGTCTTAGCAAAACCGTCAATCTAAACATTTATTTATTTTAATAAGATTCAAATGTCTGCTTGTAATATCAAGATAAAGCTCTTATTATACGTTGTCAGTTGACTTGGTGTTCCGTACGTAAATAATAAGATGCTATATAACAAAAAGAAACCTATAAGTATTACTGATGGGTCTTACTTGCCTAGAATTCTACGTACTTATTATACAATCTTGAGCATACATTTTGATTGACTGAATCTAATTACAAAATTATAATACGACGAAATACCTCCCTACTTTGTTTCTTCAAGTTTAAATTATATGTAAAAGCAAATTAGTTTACGCTCCTACTAACTTTTATATATCAACGTAATGCCCTTTTTATACTAATATAGTAAAGATAAAAGATTTGGTCTTCTATTTGCATCAAGTATATCGTACATAATTTTTATCAATAATGCGATTTTTCCGAGAGCATACGCTACTTTTTAGTCCAAGATTCCTACAGTATCATGCCTAAAATTCCATAATGGACAAAGTCGCAGTCCCGTATAAAAACATAGTACATAACATAACATCACGTTTTATTCCCGAAGGGGTAGGCAGAGGTGCACATTATGTCACTGTATAATATAACACCCACTTTTCACTATTTATGTTATGAGTCCCATGTAATAGGAGGTGAGCCTATTGCCATATATACCGGGCACAATTCCAGACTCCGTGCTACTACTGAGATTTTTTTTAAAACATAGTACCTATTTGATAAAAGTACGACCATTTCTATTTCCATTGCCAATTAGTACGAAAATTAAAGATATTTCTGTTGTAAGGAAATCGTTAGCCTAGTTAAACTTCGTATTGGGGCTTAAATTACTTTGCACACACGTGAAGGGGTTTATCCACGTATGAACTAGTCACGTCAACGTTAACTCGCCGATCAGTGAATGTTACATGACCTGACGTAACTGACGTGTGTGCCAGCACTTCGATTGCCAGTTTTTTGGTTCGATTTCAAGTCGAGACACATTTAATTAACGCCAGCCTGAATTGGCATTCGTACATGTGACTCGTATACGAATTAAATTACAATCCATACTCAAATATGCAAATATTAAAATATGCAATTTTGTTTTTTACGATAATTCCAAAATCATTAATTAAGAAATTTTATCAATGAAATTGAGTTTCCCAAAGAATATTTTGATTAATGTTTCGGAGTTGTTTCCTTTACACAATGTACAATGAACTAAGAGGTCGATCATGAGTGAAAGCGTCGCAGTAAGTTAACATGACGTCACTTGCACATTAACGTGAGTTTGACTAACTTGTAATTATGCTTACACAGTTAATGACTATAAGACCTGACTTTTTGTAACGTCCTGGTAGTTGACGATCTATAAAATTTTCAATAAGCAGAAATGTCTTTCAGCGACGTGATGACCAATCACGCGATGTATGATTCTTTCCTAACGAATACAAAATTAAAAAAAAAACTGGTTTTCATATATAAGCCAACTCTCATACATTTTTATTTAGACTTTAATGTACACAATTTGACTATGGCACATAATGCAAACTTAATGCCATATGCCATTCTCTACCACTCAACCTTAGGGTTTAAGTAGAAAATCTGCGAAAAATAAGGTACGGAGAATAAACTAACAGCAAAGAGAAAGAGAGGAAAAAATAGTAATTACTAATTATTAAATAATATAGCTATACATATATATTACATAATAGTAAATAGTATATATAGTCATATATAGATTCAAAATATATACATTTTTCGCATTAACATCGTCAATATTTGAAAACAGCAACCAAAAATGAGTTTTTACAAAAATCTCACTCGAACGACAAAGACGAAATTGGTTGAAAGCATTGAAACTTTTCGTTTATAGACTTAACCTAAATATGGAGGAGGGGGGAATATTCATCAAAAAGTTAACATTTGATTTATGACTTGGGAAATTTGTCTTCGTACGTCATACGTACTTGTTTTTACTCAGCGTAAAGTAACCTGAACACCATATAAAATGGATGAAACGTGCCTGTTAAATGTCTAAGAGGATAATAAACAGGTGCATGAATATACATAAGCTTTCAATCTTACCTACTCATAAGGGGAGTTCAAACATTTGTCAATACATTTGAAATGTTAGTTTCGTCTCCTCTATTATAAGATAGGTGTCGCGGAGAACCTAACGGGTAACCGGGGCTCCGGCTCGACGTGCAGGAGAAGGAACGGGGTGGTTTTTAGTCAGTAAGAGTCTGACACTCCCTCTCGCCTCACCCAGGCAGGAGCAGTCATTCGATGATTTTCCCCCTTAAAAAAAAATATAAGATAGGTACTACAATGAATGTGATTCGACTATATATTTATTTATATTACTTCCAAGTTTCAGTCTACCGTGATCATACAACAGCAACCTTTGCGTGTGAAGTTAGATCGACGGAACCTTAAAATGTTAAATTACTCGTCCACAGATATATGTATTTATGTATCTATGACTATCACAACTCGACCTTTACAGCGGTAGTCCGAGCGGTCTTAACTTAGCTAGGAGTTCCTAAATAAATACAAGATATTAACTTGAAATTTAGCTAAAACTGAGGCTGCACTGGTTCTGATATCCTACAATATTTATTGATTCAGCTTTTGTTAGCTTTCGAAGTCCGACCGGTAAATTAGAAAGTAGATGTCTAGCTTAGCTTATTCAGTTTAGTATTGCTACCAACTACCAATAGTTAATACATTAATAATTCACCTCAGCGAAATAACAAGACTAGGTACGAAACCTAGTCTTTTGTAACTTATAGAACTCTAGAAGAACTATTTAAAAATAGATACTATTATATAAATCATATAATAAGTCACTATTTGAAGCGTGTCTATACACGCGTGTCTATATAAGCGTGATTTGTACAAATTTGTATACACTTTCATTCCAATAATTAAAGTAATTCAAAAGAATTTAATAACAATACTTACGAATTCAAAATATGAGCAAATTTTCTTCTAAAGAAACAAATCCACAAGTTGTTACCGTTCGAGTTCTTGCTACAATTAAATTAGAATAGTATAGCTGAAAATTTTGCTGCCTTTCTACTAATTACGACCTTTGTTATTGTAAAATATTTTCACTACGACGTCAAGACAGGAGTCCAAACTAATTGCTTATGTAAAAGTTGTTTGAATATTCTTCAGTTTGATTTATACGAAATGTTTAATAAAGAATCAGAGTTTAAAAGGTTACTTGAAAATAAAAAAAGAAAAGAATTTCAATTTAAATTGTGTTTTGACATTGACATCCAACATTTGAAAGTGTTTAGTTGTAGCAGATCTCCTAATAAATGTTTTAGAAGATATTAAAATATAACTCTAAGGATTCTTACTTCACATGAGTTTTTCACCACATAATTTATTATTCAATTGTAAGGTCAATGGGTATAATTGCAATAATTGCAATGATCGTTCAACTAATAAGAATTCCAGACACACTGAAAGAATTTTGGAACCACTGTTCTATATGAAATAAAAGCCCTTATTCTTATGAGCTTAATAAATAATAATTAAATTACTATATAACTAATTTACTGTTTATTTCTTTCTTTAGGACATCAAATATTTGCTGCTTCCATGGGTGGTGGCTATGGGGCTGGAGACTGTTGTGGAAGTCATCAATTTGATCTACTTATTCTACTTGCAAACTGTAAGTACTTATTAAAATAATTATTGAAGCTTTGTTTGTATAGCGATTATGTGTCTTTACCAATCACGGGACCACTGGGCCCCGGTCATTTGGGACGCGTATGAGGGCCTGAATCCAACTGCGCAGAGGCCCTTTTATCTAAATGTAATGGACACATAAACCGGCGACTATCCCTGTATGCACTATTATGCATTACTATTATTATTATGTGAAACATTTTTACCATGCATGTTATCCAAAACGTTGTGTATTATGCATACAATGTGCTAAATATGTTAAGCTGATGCTTAAATGCGATGTTTTCGGCATTGTTTTAATCCATCATAGAAGCTTTTATCAATGTTCATGTGAACGTGAAAATGAAACCCTAACGGGCATGCAAAAACATTTTACTGACTCCATCGCTGGTATGGACCGATGAGCAGACCGTGTGATTTTCTATACAATATATATGGAAATTACTTAATTTATCGTGTACAAATAGTTTAATAGTATAATTATTTGATATTCAAACCATGGTCCATGTTCAAAACTAACTCATACTAACCACACGTTATTAAAAGTTAGTAGAGCAATGCCTAAATCCAAAGATAACAATTAAAATCCTTCAGCAGACTACGTCGTATCACGTACTCGAACAAAATCATTCGCAATCTAGGAACGAAACGAAACGAAATCTTTTGTCTCCATTATTTATTCGCAAACAAATTGTGTAATGTATTTTTATTTCTAAACCATTAAGAGCCTTTCATGTCACATACGACATTTTCATTTACTACGCGCTTTCGTATGTGAATACGCAACCGAAAGCGTATCGATCACCGTTTTTAATTCGAGTTGTTGAATGGGCACACTCACCGCGCCATTTTTGGTTTTATGTGCCCCCAGGGATCTTTAATCACCGTAGCAACTTACATGTGTAATTGAACACCTTAGTAAACAGCTTTAAGGAAACGTAGACTGATCGAACATATAGGTAACATGGAGATTTAAGAAATTCTCAACGACTCTGAGATTTGTTCTCGTTTCGTCTTATTGGGCGCGAATGTCTGGCCCAAGGCAAAATTCGTACTCACCCAAATAGACATTATATCATTTGTCAGCTGCAAGAACGTACCCATATAGCTATATAGTATGTATACCAGTGGATCTTTGTAGATGAATTTGGGTATTCAAATAAATTGGGCTCCGCCATTCTACCCCGTTTTCAAGTTAGATAATGTAGTTACAGCGACCGTATAATGTCAGTAAAATATTATTCCAGTATCTCAGTCAGATATTTTTGTTATCCTCGAAAGGCTTCGTTTTGAAAAAGGTAAACGAGACGTTTTCGCTTTTATATACTTATTATTGTTTTATATTGAGATTTGCTGATTTATGGAAAACTTAAATGTAGATAATACCAATAAAGTTAACACAAAAGCCAATACTTAACATAAAGGCATAAACCGCACAGCAAACAAAAGTTATGAACAATATTGTCGCGAACGGTGCAACAGTTGGCGTAGTCCATTCACAAAGAACAATTCAATTGATAAACTATTCACTGTGACCGTACTCTTTCACATATTAAATACTGACCTAACTGGCTGGTTCCAAGGACCTACTTATTTGTTTTTCGTTTCATGCATTTTAATGTATACTATTTAGAATAATTCGTAGAGAGACATAGATTGCTGTAGGTATAGAAAGGTTGAATAGACTAAACAATTTCAAGAGTTCCTACCACGAACATTAAATAAACATTTTTATTCCTAGCTATCTGGAAAGTGATCTCCTTATATTGTTAAGAATGCATTGAACAAAAGTCAAATTACACCTACCTACTTCTGCAGTCGTGTATGTTACATGTTTCAATCTAAACGGCTCTGCGAACCTCATTAAAAGTCTAAAACAGGCTACAAAAATGTTACTGGAACATTTCCCGGCAACGATTTGTTAGAGATTGACCTTTGAAAACGATATTGAATGCAAAGGTTGCGAATTCACCCGCAGGCGCCAGGCGTAACGGTCGCCTAGATTAAAGGCTTTAACGACCATGTCCTGACTTCCTAATATCGAGATATTACTCTTTCATCGTACTGGGCACACATTAAAGGATAAATAAACCAACAGGCTAAAACATTGTGTGACAGTTTGTGTATGTATTTAATGAAAACTATTTGTAAACAAACATATTAGTATGAAACATTTATTTAGCGTCCATAAAATATGTTTTATTATATGTTGTGTATTTTTATATGTTACATTAATCGATTGTAAAGAAAAAAAACCTGTTTTTTAAATGTTAATTCCTGTATACATTACACACATACCATATCATTACGGGATAATGTGGGAGAATTTATTCATAACAGCTACTAAAAAACATCAAAGGATTTAAGACAAACATAACACCGTACCGTACCTCTTTTGGTAGACCTTTTAAAGCTGTATCTGGCATAAATATGTATCTAAACAGAATCTTTTGAAAGCGTATAATAAAATAGGTATTAATTTACTTGTTTTATCTCGGATTACCGTTCAGAGCCTCAGTACTACGAATTTTATTCTTCTTTTATTTTTCAAACTGAGAAGTGAAAGCAGGATTGTAATTGTAGGTAGATAAGTACATTACAATAATAATTTAGTATTTACAAGAAATATGAAATCGAAAAACACTTTTATGGCGCATCTTTTTATAATCAAAATATAGAATTATACCATAAGGCAAGTACCTATGCAGAATTAGATAATTAATTAGAAAAAGTTAATGTATTCAACTCATTTGAAATTAATGTATATCTATCACAAACTAAAGGAGAGTATCGTCAATCGTTCCGAAGAAAGTAAATTTAAAGACGGTTTTATTCGGAGTCCAACCCCTATACCGCCATAACAGTGGCTTACGTCCAATTTTATTTGTTTCTTCAGGCAAAGTCGTAAAAACTAGCAATGATTAGGTTTCCTTCGTATTCCTGGACCAGACAATACACTTAAATAAGCTTTCTAATAATAAACTTCATCGATAAATGCACTTTATGTCAGTTTTTCCCTTCAATGGAACTATAGGTATGTAGTCAGGTACCTACTACATCGAGTATATAATATTGTTTAGTATAAGTAGTGTATAATTTTGTTGTCTAGATGGAACCTACTTTATTTTGTTTTAATAACAAAGATAGTTAGGCAGGGAGAGAAGATTTTCGCAAAGTTTTTTTTCTTAAATATTATGTAGGTACCTATTTACTAAAGTCAATAACAATAATAGTAACTATTACTATGGAAAACGATTTTTTTAAACGTTACACTATGATTCTTCTTGTGCCGTGGGTGCGTTTACAAAGATATGTATACATGTGACACCCAGGCCCGGAACACCAATCTGTGGATCACACAAAGAGTTGTTCCGCCAGTTGCCCAGCAACAGCACCAATCGTGCAGTCAGTTTAGTCGAAAGTTGTATTCTAGCAATTGATATAGGTGTACCTACCGACATATATTTAAATACAAAGTAGAGGTAGGCTTCTTATTGTTCAACCCAAAAATGATCCGGAAAAAGTTTGTGCCCGGATAATATGTATTGAAGTTGGCTCGTAAATGGTTGGACCTAAAAGAAAGTACAAAGTTTTCGTCGAAGAAGTTACATTAAACTCTGAGCTGCATCTAAAAATGTCCAGTGCAAAGTATTATAATGAAAATTTCAGGAACTTTAAATTATTTATTCGTTTGATTAAATATCTAATGATATCTATTTTGTGCCTCAAACAATAAAACAATAAATCATTTGGAAAAACATAAATAAATTTGTCTTCTCATTTTGTTAAGGTTCCTTGTCTCAAATTGGACTGAATGACACCAAGGTCAAAGCGTTAGTCAATAAACAATAATCGATAAATAATAATATGAAAGCAAATATGTTCTGACATGGGTCAGTCATTTTCATATATGAAACAAGATTTTTATTTTATTTTATTCGGGAATTAAAACGTATCTGTGATAAATGTTTTATTTTAAATGCTAATTTTCCGCCGTTTCGTGCTCGTGATAATACTCTTTAGAATAATTTCCAGAGGGCATTACGTGTATAAAGCGCTGTTCCAACTTTAATGTTTTGCTTGTGTTATCCGCCTCTAATTTAATTGTTGTGTAAAAATCTCCCTTCGCAGTTAATTACAGAAACATGTTTTTTGCAACACATTTCCGATTTGCAAACAAAAGTTACTTAAAATCATGTACCTATACGTATTTTTCAATGAAAATTGTAATTGATTAGAAAGTAAATTACGGTAGGTATCGTTTCTTAACTTTCTGTAAACTGGCTTTTGTTTAAGAGGTGTTGTTTATAAATTGTTGGACTCGTGTCGTGTTGACAATGGCCTACTTTACAAGCAGTACGAACAACTTTGTCAAGAAAACTGAGATAAAATAAAAGCAGTTGTATATAAGCATCCAGAGAGAAGTTTTTTATCCATGACAGTGGTAAAACTTTGTCTTCGCCTCTTTCTCGGCTAAACTTAAGCTTCTTTGTATGAATAACGGTTTGAAGACAGCGTCAACTGTATTTACATATCTGCCTCCTTTTGACGGACGAGAACTGAAAGAACCCGTAAAGATAATCTGTACGACAGGAACCTAACATGAGATTTTCCTATTCTTATGACGTATTTCAGGCACAGCTTATAGTGGTTTTCAACGTAATTTTTTTTTTGTTTGCTTTCTTTTTTTGTCGCAGCTGCTTTTCTAGTTTGATGATGTTTATATAATCTTTAGTGATCGATCTTTGAAAAATCATCAAATATTTTTTATCCCATAGAAAGCAGCACACAGCCATCGAATGCTCCTCATTCAGTCTTTTCAAGCATGGTAATTGTATAGGTACCTATATACATACCTATAGGTGGTCAAAGGCTTGTATTAAATCCTATAAGCTCTTTTTGCGTGTATTTCACAACCAGCCCCATTGGTGCCATAACGATTCTTTCATCAAAATCCGACTGCGGCCGGGTCTTGTGTGAATA